CATGTCTGCTTAGCAACACAGGTTTTTGTAAATACATTCTCCACGGCTCTGCAACCTCTGCTGATTTTTTTTGCTGAACGAAGAGGCCTATGTGGGAGCTGGGGCCACCCCTAGAACCACTGACCCATTGTGGACAAGAAAATTTTGGAAATGCTAAATCTATCAGGTACTGGGCACTACCAGCCATCTCCCAGGTGCTGCTCCTTATGACTGAACAGCAGTGGTTGCTCTGGGTCCTGCAGCAAGAAAGGCAACAAGCCTCTGCTCATCTTCCTAAGCAGCCGCCCAGTGTCTGGTGCACTCTGGCTGCATCTGCTGCAATGAGTAAATGTCAAATGGTGAAGACTTTAAGATCAGACAAAGCTTTGAGGAGAAAAAAACCTTACATTAGACACAATGTTACTGTAGGTTCAGTTTGGGTCAAAGACTTCCTCAATCCTTCTGAGATGTACCTGATGCCAGATCCGCATGGCATTGAGCTGGGCATGACCTGAGGACACTGTGTCTATGTTTTGAAGGGGCAACGTGTATGGATGAAGTCAGCCACACTTTTTGCTTTATCCCTAGGTGCCTCCACAGCCCCCGCTGGGTTAAGTGAGTGGAACAAAAGCTCTTCCAAATACTGATGCCAAATAACCAGAGCAGGACTCCAGAGCTCCCCTTCCAGCTCTAGGAGATGAATTGACCTAATGCATGAAGCAGGTTCCTGAGAAGCAGGACTGCTGAAATCATGTTGTAGCAGTGGGAGGGGTTGAGGTTAGGTGGCCAGGAAAGGGAACAAGGAGCCGGGATTCATAGACTGTAGCTCTATCCATAATGGAGAGTCTCTTTCTGATTGTGGCAGCAGAGAACTTGGGTCAGGACTTATCAGTATTATGGACAAGCCACCCATAAGCTTTGTTTGCCTTTGATTCCGGTCTAGGTTCATTCAACTTTTGTCTGAGGCCAGATCTGAACTCACTCCTTTCCTTTGAAATGGTTTTCTGTTATCAGTGAAAAGGAGAAAAAAAATGACTTAATCGCCTTGCTGAGTAAACAGTTCCCACTCCTTCCTCAGAAAACAAAAGCTGAAGATTCATTTTCCTCAGAACCCATGGAGGATGAATCAGAAAGCTGGGCTTTTTGTGTGTGTGGGCTGGGCTGGGCTGACAAGAACAAGTGAGCCAAACGGGGATGACAGAAATGGTGTCAGAAGCTGGTACCTCTGTGCACTGGGAAAGTGCTGGACGTGAACACGGCTGAGGAGGAGGGACATCTCCAACTCCGGGCCTCTGGATAGTTCAGCTGTTGAGTCAGATGGGTCTGGGGCTTTACAAAACAGTGAGGGGGCAAGGGTGAGCAAAAAGCCAAGAGCGTGCGTGTGCGAGAAAGATGTCTCGCTCCTGGCAGCGGGCCAAAGGAGTGGTTACTGCAGCCCTTGAGACACGCTTGCAAACACATATGCTGGCTTGCACACGTGTGCTCTTGCTCACACACACGTACCACTAACAGCATATGGAGGCTGCTCCCAGCGGCCAGCCCTGCTTCACACTGGTCCCTGTTAATGACCAACATCTGGCGAGGAAGCTGGGGTGGAGAAACAGCTGGGGCCAGTGAACCCTTTCCCTGGCGAGGGGTGAAGGGGAGGGCTGAGGGCTGGGCTGGGCTGGGCTCCACTTCTCTAAAAGCAGCCTGCAAACACTCACTCCTGCTTCCTCTGTGGAGAGCAGAGGTTGAGCAGCTCTCCGCTTTCATGTTTTGTGTGTTAAAGAGCCACTAAAAAACAACTGTGTGAAACCAAAGGTCTGTGGCTGCACCAGGCCATAATAGCCAGGGCAGGTTTTGCCAGCCCAGACTGCTTTTGCCAAGAGGTCTTAGCTTTGATGCAGAGTATGGGAGCACAGATATCCTCAATATATGTTGTTAGGAAGGATTCATTATACTGATAAAAGGATTTTTCAAAATTAATATGGGCTGTTAACAGATTTGGGTTTGTCTGACCTTCCCGTTGGCAAAACTGGAGAGGAAACAGCATCTATCTCATGGTCCTGCAGCAGCCCTCTCTGCAGAAAAACAGTGGCGTTTTGGCCCCCGGGGAGGATCATTCACTGGTGTGAACTGGTGGGTGATGCTGACCCTGCTAGAGGGTGTGTGGGTTTGCCCTGCTGCTGCCTGAGTTTGTCCTGCGCCTTGTGTGCTCCCCAAGGTCTGACGATAACTGAGGTGAAGTACAAAATGCACTGTTAGGGAAATATGGGGAAACTTTGCATTTTTTAAATTACAGCTGTTCTTCATCTGGGAGGACTCTGCTGCCAAGCTGGGTGGTTGCCCCGTCCCAGCTTCTTAACAGCTGCACCCCATCTCACCCTTGGAATTCATCTGCAGAGGCCCAAGGTGGCGATTGCTCACATCTTGCCCAGTCTGGAGAATCCCCATCCTCCCCAGTGGAGCTCTGGGCAGTGGAAAACCTCCCCAGTGTGTCAGCCTGCCTGAGCCTGGACTGTGGCTACCCTGAGACAGCTCTTAGGAAACATACCAAAGCCTTTCTGGGCTTCAGAGAGGTGATCTTATCCAACTCTGCTGTTATCATTGCCTCCTCCTTGGGAGTATAGGAGAGCTGTCAGAGGTGAGAAGAGAGAGATGGGGGGTATGGAACGGTAAAACAAAGGGAATAGATCTTTTACAAATAAAGAACAAATTTTTGTGGTTATCATCTCTGCCTGTCCAGCATGGGACTCCTGAGGAATGAGGCCTCGTTTCCTGTAGCTGAGCATGCCTGTGCTTCCCACTGGCTGCACATGCTGGAAGACACCCTGCCTGACATGCCACTGAGCTGAGGGTCGAGGGGGAGTGATGGGGCAGTCAGGGCTGGGAATGGTGCACCCTGGGGACACACTCCACAGAGTGTGGTGCTGGGCCTGGGGAATTGAGAGCCTTACCAGAATCCTTCCCCCTCTCATCATCTCCCCACCATTCGCCCTGCCTGTAAGGCACTGGCTGGCAAGGGCTGAAGTGAACATCAGAGTATCTTTTGCCCCAGCAATGTCCTCAAACCAGAGCTCTCCTCCAAGTGGGGTCAGTGAGGCCAGACTCTGCCCTGGATCTCTGGCTTCCAGGTTGAGTGTGAGACCACAGAGGAAGGCTGAGGTTAGAGTGTGGCCATGTATCTAATTACTCTCCCAGATGTGTGTAAGCATGGTACACCATCACCGGACATAGTCCACACGTCCCCACTTGCTCAACACTGAGTCACAACAGACTGGAAAAATACAGCCCACTCTGATGCTCCAATAGAGATGTAAGTACTCTCTAGTAATACATGAGTATTGTACGTGAGCAGCCAGTTGGGACAGTCGGTATCAGACGTTTCCAGCTTGAAGACTGGGATGTTTACTGTATGACTGCATTCAGTTCAACAGGGAATGACTCAGGGGAGACCTTTATGACATACTCAAGGCTGTTTTGGGATGATGCTCATCAAGTTCTGAGAACACCATCTTGACCTACCCCTTTCTTCAAGCCTGTCAGACAAGTGTTGGGCAATTAAAATTCTAAATCATAGGTATTGAGGAAACAAGGGAAATCCTGTTTTATCATGAGACATTTCTGCTAAGAGGGAAGGAATTCATCCTGGTGGATGTTTGGGAGGAAGCACTCATTGGAGTTGATCTGTCTGGGGCACCATGATGAGATAGTGAGTTGGTGATCAGGAAAAAGGCAATGCCTCGCCACCATCCTCCCTTCTCACTGGATAGTATCCTATGTGGTGGCATCTGGACACAAAGTCCTGCTGAGGGGAATCCACAGAGGACCAGCCAGCTCCTGTCTCAAAGGCTGGGAGGGGGCACTGGCTCCTCCCTCAGAGCTGGAAGAATAGCACATACAGAACACCTGGGCTGACAATTCCTCTCCCCCTGGGAGGCTCTGGATGCTGCCAGTGCTGCTAGCTGTGCATGGCTGGGTCACAGATGTGTTGCCGTCGGGCACACGCATAACATGCCCATGTCTTTGCTAGTGGGCTCTGGAGAGAGGCAAGAAACTGGATATTCCTGGGCTCCATGGCCTTTTCTTCAAAGGCCTATCTGTCAAAGGAATCAGTGCTGACCCAGCCATGGGATCAGCAGGAGCGTTCTTTAAACCTTTACATGTCACCCCTTTGCACTTGCAACTTAAGGCCTTAAGAGCGCTACAGCAAGGGGAAGATGGTCTGATCTCCTGTCTTGTTGGACTGGAAGGACTGGAGAGGCAGAGCCTCTACCTGGTGAAGGAATGGATTCCTGTCATAATCAACTGGTGGAAACCCATTCTGTAGCCCGCGGCATTTACACAGAGTAGTTAGGAGGCTGCAGGGTGTTGCTGAGGTATAGTAAGTACTGTGACTGAGGCTGCTGCATCACTGTTCTCTTCCCTTGGCCTTTCACAGGCAGAGGAGACAAGGCAAGAGTTCAGTGAAAGGGGAGGGAGCCAGGTGGACATCCTGACAAACCCTTGATGGCACTGAGCTGCCGTGCAGTTGGAGCAACGAGTAGTTTAGTGCTTCTCTGTGTCCCTTTGAGATGGACCATGGTAACCCTCTGGCTCTGCACCTCTGACCAGCTTGATCACAGGTGCCAATTGTTTGTCTTCAACCAGCATGTCCTACCAGATGCTGCTTTTTCCTTGCCACTGATTCTTGTCTCTCACTGTTTAGATCCATCCATTGCCAAAAGCAGGTCATAGAATAATAGAATGATAGATTCATGGAATGGTTCAGGTTGGAAGAGACCTTAAAGATCATCTAGTTCCAACCCCACTGCCATGGGCAGGGACAACTTGCTCAGAGCTTCATCCAACCTGGCCTTTGACACTTCCAGGGATGGGGATGCTGAGTCTATGTGAGCTGCATGAAACTCCAGTGCAGCTGAGCGCTTCAGTATAAGGTCTAGGGAAGACCTCCAGCTGGAAAGCACTGCAAGGCAGACCCACAGGGCAGTTTGGCATCTAAACTGCTGTTGAAACTAACTGACTTGTCTCTGAGGTGAAGCACTGGGGTATCTGGTCTGCTCAGATCTGCTGCTGGAGGACAAGACCAGCTAAGATTCTTTCAGAGAAATGGTGGAAGACAAAACAGTGTAGGAGAGAGTCCGAAGAGTTGGCACTCAAACTCAAAAACCTTATGTGAGAGCATAGCAAGAAACATCTTTCCAGGTCAGCTCCTGACCCTTCTGTGTAAGGGCTTTCTATGATTTGCCACGCTGCTTAAGTTGCTGACCAGTGGGTTGCTGTCTCAAAGGTGAATTTTACTGTAGTCTGAAACAATATGTGAAGTGGCCAGTGTAAAATTTCTCTCTTCCTCAGGATTGTGAGGAAGGACTTCATCTTGTGGGGCTGTGGTCACAGGTCTGAGGTTTTGCTGGCTGTATAAACCACCAGCAAGAATAAGCCCCCGAGTGAGATCCATCCTCTGTGGGATCCAGGGACTGACCTGACTGGTGTGTTTTGTCCACTGATACCCAGGTCTATCCTGAGCATCTGGACCCAGTGAGTGATAAGTGAGAGAAGAGGAGCCTCAGAAATGTGAGAGAGGAAAAAAAATGTGGAAGGAGGCACGGATTGAGGTGAACTGATAGCATCATTCCCCCTGCCCCCCCCCCCCCCCCCCCGGTTATTCCTTAGCAAAAGGGGGCATAAGCTTGCAATGCTGAAATGTCTTCCTCCCACCATGGTGTGTCAGGCTCAGAGCCAGGGGATGTGCTAGGATTGTTTCTAGCCTGAGAGCCTTGGCGTAAACGGTTGTCTGCATCATGGATGAGTGTCCAGGTGTGTGACTGGGTAGGAGTGAATCGGGCTGCTGGGTCAGAGCGGTTGGTTTCATGCTCTCTTCACTGGTTATTAGCTTATTGCAGAGTCAAGATGGTGTGTCAGGCTCTGGGAGCTTTGGTGAAAGCACTTGTGAGGGCAGGGGGCTGCATTTAACCCTGCAGGTGGCTAAATCATGCTGGGAGGCTGAAATCTGCGGAGACAGCCCTATTTCCCAACTCAAAAACCGACCGCGGTTTTCTGCCAGCGTGAAGGGGTCTGTGTCTGCACGGGGAGGAAGGAGGAGGAAACTGCACGATGCTATTCCTTACGTGTCTTAAGGAAAGGACGAGACAGGCAGAGGTTTCCCCCGCGTCTGTGATGCCGGCGCATTCCCCAGCTGCAGCCGAAGCCTGACGCCGGGCTGGCGAAGCTGCTCTGAGTCACAGAGTGTCTGCACGGTGCTCGGTCGGCTCATTCCCGAGGCACACAGCACAGCGAGCGGTGCTCCCGCACGCCTTCACCAGCGCTCGCACGGAAACTGTCCCTCCGGCCACCCACCTCTGAATCACGGGGTCCTGGCTTCGAGCAGGGGGGATTTCCCAGCACCCAGCGCACGGGTTTGCGTGCGGAGAAGCCTCCTTGCAGGCAGCTGGAAATTGTCTCCAAACACACATTTCTGGACAGCTCGGGGCTGAGAATGTCCCTGAGTGGGTGGAAGTTCCCTGAGGAACTTTGCTGTGTTTTGTGGGTTCCGTCCCTGCAGTGAGCACGGGGACAGAAGGCACTGGACTTGCTGCTCCCCCCGGTGAGGTGTCTTTTGCTCAGGTGTATCTTTACTTTTTCCTGAAGTTCAGGGTGTCTCAAAAGCCATCTCCCTCCACAGGGTGGACAAGCCCTGACACTGTTACCCTGCTGAGTGGGTGTGTGAAAATACCTTGGGTTACTGGGGCTGTGTGGGGCTGTAACACCCTGACACGGGCCACTGCAACCCCTTTGGTGGGGGTTTTCTCGTCTGGTTGCTCTTGGTGTGGGCTGCAGGATTAGCAAAGTGAGGGCATGAGGACTTTGCTTGCTGCCCTGTCCTCACCGTGGATGCTCCTTCCCCAGCCTCCTGCCCACTCCTTCCAGTGCTGGGCCCTCTTTCCCTGCATTTCCCAGGAGAGAAACTCCTTTTACATTTCCTGTGCTTTCGTGGGAGATGCCAGGGTTGCAGATGAGACATAGTGGCAGCAGGGACCTGTCTGACTGTGATGCTCTGGGCATTTGAGTGGAGGACGCCTACTGCACCCCCTGAGCTGCTTCTCACTCACTGCCCTTGGGAGGACAGAATATTTTAGCATCAGCCAGGCATGGATGCCAAACAAGCAGCCTGCAAAAAGGCAAATATTTTGGCTACTCCAACACATCTGTTTAGAAGCAGCTCAACCTCAATTTTAAACAAAATGGGAAAGAAAATACATTAATTCAAGCCATGCCCTTAGGAATACAACCCCTTGGCTGAGGCCCAGCAATGGCAGCCTCGTTGGGAGATCATGTGTCACACAGCCGAGACAATCACCCCGGCTCTGTTGCGAGCCCTAGTGCTGCTTTTGGGCAGGTTTCATGTTCCCTATGGAAGCTGAGGGAGGCTGTACATGGCTGCGTGAATTCATGGCACTCTTGCAAGAGTACATACTCTCGCAACATCACACCTCCCCAGTGTCCTCCCCACTTTCCTGCATAGCAGCCTCCCATGTCTTGGGAAGGACTCAATGTCAGGGGTTGGCTGCTCCTGTTCTTTTTCATCCTTTGTGGGAAGGATCCAACCCTGGGAGATCCTAAAACAGATCAGCTGTTTTCCCAGCAGCCCCTGGCTTCGTGTGTGGGACTTGGTTTATCAGATTGGGAACAGCTGATCCAAAGTCTTTTGACAAATCCGTGAAGATTCAGTGAAGCTTAGATGCTGCTTTCCTGATGGCCTCCTTTGGTTGACCCTAGACCTTGTTAATCTCTGATGCACCCAGAGGCAAGCCTGCAGAAACATCTTAAGATGGGAAACTGTTGTGTGGAGTGAAAAGGGGAGGTTCCTGAGCTTCTCATCTGCTTCTCTAGTGAGCTCTGCAACCCTTCCTGAGCTTGGTGGTCTTGCAGGTATCTGGGAGATTTAGGCTGATCTCACAGGTGAGAAATGCCTGAACTGTGGTGGTGGCATGGTGCACAACCCCACTAATACACCACTGTGAGCATGCTCACTGCTGTGTTACCCTATGCCCTGTGTGCCCCACACCACCAATGTCTTCCCTTCCTTAGAGTGGAGGCAGCACAACCTGCCCAGCTGCCCCAGTCTGGCATGCGGACTTCTGTGCAAAGGGCTGGAGGAAGGCCAGGCTCCCAGCTACTGAAGCAGGGGGCTCTCCACCCTCTCCCTCTGCCAGCAGAACAAAGCATGTGAGCTCAGGGATCACTGGGGCCTGGGAAACCCAATGTACAGAAATGAGGATAGGGAAGAAACCAACTGCCCGACAGCCCATGGGATGCCCCATACTGCAGCACTCAGCACTGGGTGAAGTGCCGAGGGACAGGAAGTGGCTTCTAAGCAGGGTTGCACCAAAGACCCACTGGATGCCGCTTAGGTGGTGATGCTTGGTGGTATCATTGGGTCTGTCTTAGTGTCATCTGGGATTGGCATTTCCATGGGCTCCCTGTCCATGCTGGAACTGGCCATGCTCTGACATGAAGAAAGGCAATAGTTAACTTCTGTGCCATAATTATTCTTACACAACCTCCTCCATAGTGTGCAGCCAGCCTCCACTATGTAATAAGTACTAATGTCATCTTGGGCAGAGGCGAGGGGGGCAGGGAGTGCCTCAGAGGAAACCCTTGGCTCGCGTCAATCAGTGCAACTTTTTATTTTACAGATCAGGCTGCAGAGCGCTTCCAAGTATGAACAAACCTAAATGAAGACAGCTGGCAGAGGCTCTTGTCATCTAATTCCTTCCAGATGTGCAGTCATATGCTGCAGTTTCTGACTAATGACATCCCTGAGGAAAGCCCTGGGGATGCTGCAGTGATGCGGTGGGCGAGGGGCATGCCAGGAACCTGTTGGTGGGCCGATAGCACTGACTCCCCAGAAGCTGCTGCTTGGAGACCCTGGGGAGGGACCCTCTGCTCTCCCTCTCTTCCCCTTGAGATCAGCAGGGCTCAGCAGGTGGCACGGGGCTGACTCTGCCATGCTTGGGCACCCAGGCAGCTCTCCACAGGTGGGTAAAGCTACTTAATCCAATAGCAGTGTCCTGCAGAGATACTTTATGGCCTGGAAGCCAGAAAACCACACTTAGTAGGGTTGTGCTGGAATAAATTAGTGATGTTTTCTGATAATGAATTGAGGTTGAAGCGTTTATGCTGCTTCCCACTTGGGAGCCCATTCAGATCTCCCTGCGTGATGCCTCTCTCTGCCAGAGAGATGTCTGAGAAATCAGTCTGGGGGGGAAGATTTGTAAATCCTGCTGTGTCCCCATGAAATATCTGCCCTGCGTGTCCCCATTTTATGTTCCTGCACAGCCTGGGTTGTATTAGAGCTGTGCACATTCTCCAACGGGTTTAGTTTCCTCATCCCCTGTGAGGGAGACCATGCTAGTTTTATCAGCTGGGGTATAGGAGACACTCTGGCTTGGAGATGGGTCAGGAACTGGGGAGGACCAGCCCTTCTGACTCCAGGAGGGAGATAATGTCTTCCCAGAGTATTGCCTCCTTCACAGTGTCTTTCAGAAACTGCAATCCGCCCGGGTTCCATCTTGATGCTTAGGAAGAGGAGTTATTTTGGGTCTTCCCGTGGTCCCTGTTCTCTCCCTCTTCCTCTCCACACCTTTGTAATTAACCTCTGAACCCTGGCTAATCCCAGGATTAGCATGTCATGGGCTATTGGTTAGGTCTCCCACCACCCCTTCTGTGTCCCAGCATCCCTGACAAACTTGCAGGGGGGTCCGGAAAGATAGGTTGCCTCTGAGGAGTGAGGAAGCTTGTAATGGATGTGCGATGTCAGGAGCCTGGCGGGTGGTGAGAGATAATCCGGGGGTCACCTGTGGCTGATAATGATCTCCTGAAGCCTGGGAGCAGGGTGGAGGGGCACAAAGAGCCTGAGGGGCTGTGGCAGCCACTTCAGCCTCCCTACCTTGGCCCCTTCTGCCAGGCAGAGTAGGATGCAGAGGAAAGGAGAATCCTGGTGGGCTTTCAGTCGAGGTGTAAATATCTCCTCTGCCTGCAGGTTAAGGCAAAGGATTGGCTTGTGACTTTTGGTGCAGCATCTCCTTCAGGACTTAGTTATGCATGTGCTTTCCCTCGGGAGGGTGTCCTTGGGCAAATGGAGAACTTGTTCATGGGGTTTATTCAATATCAGTGCTTGAGATGCACTCCAGATTGGTGGGTGAACTCTCTGCTCCCCTCTCAGCCTTCTTCTGCCTTACCTATGTCTCCCTGGGGGCACTTCACAGCTCCCAGATGACTGATTTTCCAGGAGAGCCTCAGAGAAATTCACGTTTAACCTAGCAGAGGCAGTGCAGTGACCTCTGTCACTCCACTTCTCCTTCAAGATGAAAACTCCCAGCCCTGATGAACCATGCAGCAATACACTCAATTTAGCCACGAGAACTGCTTTTTATGTCCAAGACATCCAGCTGTGTAATGGACCACACGGTGGAAATAACAGAAGTAGCAATGGACTCATGCTGGGGTTGGCCCAAAGAAAAACAGAGACTGCAAAGGAAAACCTCATAGATAGTGGTCAAGACATGAAGAAGGGACTAGGTGCCAGTTTCCCTCAGCTGAGGTGTTTGTGGCTTTCAGTGCCTCTTAAATCCCTAAATGCCTACGCCCTCTCCTTTTGGTGTAACTCGATGAGCTTCTCTAGGACACCCCTGGGGCCGGGGAGAAGGATGAGCCCAGACACTGGAGCAATTCCTTGCCACAGTGGTAAGGTGCTGGGAGCTGAGCCTGGTGGGTGCTGCCTGAAGGGGAACAAACTCCTGGGAAGGCACCTGGGTTTGCAGTGGTGTGGGATGCAGGTTTCCTTTCTCCCCGGGGCAGAGGAGCAGCACTTCCAGCTGCTTTCACTGTGCCACGAGGAGAGGAAGGGGGTGGGGAGCTGCTCTCCAGAGGCCTCCTGGGGTGCGAAGAAGTCGGCATGAGCTGGCAGTTTGTTTCCACCTCTCATTACGTGAAACTGGGACTGGGACTGAGCACTGGGAGCAGCAGGCATGCTCACAGAGGAAGTGGGCGATAATCTCACGTCCCTGCTGCACGGTATGCTGCGTGTGTACAGGATGTTTGGTTTCCTATCGATCCCGTCCAGAGGTAGTGGGGATGGGGAGTTGCAGAGACAGGCTTTGTGGTTTCTTTAATCTGATCATTTCCTTGTCTCTTTCTTCTATTTGCAGACAAGTGCGTGTGAGGCACCCGAAGTGATGAGTTGCTGCACTCTGCCTCAGCACTGTCTGTGTTTGCAGGGAGGTAGGGTGAGGGCTGTTTGCCTCAGGAGTGACTCAGGCTGATGAACCCAATTCCAGTCAGGCACAGGAGCACTTCTCTGAATGGTGCTGTTGACTCCTGGCTCCTTGTCTGGCGCTGCTGCTGGTGAGCTCTCTGCTGGATGAGCAGGATCAATGCATAGGGCAACATGTAATAACTGGACAGAGGAAAGTGGTTTCCAGCTCCAGTAACCACAGCATCACCTTATCTGGAATGTCCCAGCCAAACCCAATGACGACGGCCCAACTGCAGCCATGCTCTGAGGTGTGTCAGACTGTGCAACGGAGGCCCCAACCTCCCATAGCCCATGGCAGCGTTCCTTTCTCTGGTAGCACTTCTCCCTGTGGTGGCTTTGCCTCTTCTGACTCTGAGCTTCCCTCTCAGCTCCTTTCCCTTACCTGGGCCTCCCTCATTCCTGGAGCAGCACATCATCCTGCCTAAAGCTGCTCTTTTGCCACAGGGTCTTCACCTGCATGAAATGACCATTTTGTCCATGAGCTGCTAGTGAGGGAACGGGCAGGGTGAATCCACATGAGGACAGGACTGTGCCGAGGACTGATGCTAAAGGTACCGTCTCTAAACAGAGGCATACTGAATTGACGTTTTCTGCCTGCAGGATTTCACTGTGGGGTGGTGTACTCCAGGTGTGATGCAAAATGGAGCATCACATCATGCTTTGCTGAAATAACACATCTCCTGTGGGAGATGCAAACTCTGAGCGTCTGGAGGATGAAGGACTGCGTTATGAAGAGACTTGAGGGATGTGCTGGAGCACTCCTTCCCCTGTGACCTGGGGGACACCTGCCAGAGTGGGAAGGATAAATCAGTGGAGCCCTTCCCTCAAGTTGAGCAAGCTCACCTGAGCAGAAAGATGCCAGACAGCAGCCCAAGTCACAGATAGGTGAAGAGTAGTAACTAAGGCAGGAGAGCTGTGATATCCAGCGGTGAAGCAGGACAGCTGTGGAGAGAAGAGGCACCACACAGATGAAGAGGCTGGACTGGCAGCATTTCTGAGTCCATGGGACCTTATCCCCCGGAAGGGGCTGGCTGCTCCCTGCTTACATGGGTTTCAGTCATGCCCCAGCTCCCTGACTGGGGAATAGTCTAGAGGGAAATCCATGGGACTTTCCCATCTCCTCACCCTTCCTGGCAGTGGTAAAGGGAGTACTGGGGAGGGAAAGTTTAGGCGATACAGTTACAAAGTGCAAGTACCTCTGAGGACATCAGACCCTGCCCCATCTGATTGCTGTGATATCAAGGGGAGCCCCAGCTGTGCACTCTGAGCCTCTGAGCGATGCTTTATTTGTAAACACTTGTTAAGAAAACAAACGAAAAAAGAGGCTTTTGAGATTATCTTGGTCCTGCCACATCACCAGGTGCTGGAAGAGCTCTGGCTGCCCACGGTGCAGGACCTGGGTAAGCCTCAGGCATGCCACTGGGGAATCCCCGGCTGCAGAGAGGAAGAGACACCACCAGCTTCTGTGAAACACCTTCATTCATTCCTTGCTGATCCTGGCAAAAAGTGGCGAGGGGCTGGTTTTGATCAGAAGCAATCTGGCGCTGGACCTTGGTGCAGCTGGTAACTGCAACCTGCAGCCCTGAGCTGCGCTTGGCCCTGAGGAGGTTCTGTTGTGTTTGCATTTGAAAGAGCCTCTTGTGCTCCTGTGCTTGCAGTTGAACGGCTTCCAAGGCAGCTTCCTTTTCTCTCTTTTTGTCACCATTATTACTTTTTAATAAAGTTCCCTGATTAGATTCTGAAACTTCATGGTGAAGCGGCCTTGGCAATAATTTCCTCTCGTTGGCCACTCATAGTGGTTTCCAGGCCAGCTCAGTGCTGCTGCAAAGAAAGACACAGTGGGGTGAGAGGAAGCCCAGGGCACTGACTCTGTCCTGATGCCACAGTGCTCTTTGGGAGATACCAGATGGGCCACAACATGGTGGGGAGCAGTGGTGTAGGGGCTGAGTGTGGTGTGGGGAGTGCAGGTATGGGGTATCCACCCACGTTCATCTCCTTGACTTCGTTCTCCTCTGGTTCTTCTGTAGGGCTTTTTCTCCAGTCCTTAGAAAGTACTGTTTATCAATATTAACTATGTTAATAGTAACAACAATTAAAACATTGGCATTCGTATCAATGCGTAGTTTCTGGTGCTGTTTGCAGAACTGAGGACAGAAGGAACCAAAGTCTGCATAGAGAGATGACACTGCAGGTACCATCAGGTCTTCTCTTTTTACCACCTTCTCCATTTTTTTCCTCTCTTCAGAAACGAAAAAGCTTTTCCTGCTCTCCTTTATGTGCTGGGGCTGCTGAAGGACAGCATGTGGGGTTCCACAGAGAAGGCAGGTAGATTGTAGAAGCTCAGGCTGGGTTGCGCTTGAGTCCTGCCTTGGCAAAAAAACACAGTGACAAACATAGCTGATTTGGGGAGACACTTCCAGTATATCCTTGGGGGAATTCAGTCATTGCAGGAGGACAGGACAAGTTCAAGGTTCATTTGTCCAGAGTCCAAACTGAGTGGGGTGGAAGCAGTGGTGTGAGTGGATCAGAGAGGTAGAGAGGCATGAGCAGAAGAGGCTTTTGGTTCCTCACCAAGGAGCCTCAGCCAGCCTGACTCACCCAGAGCCACTGGCAGATAGAAAGGAGATCCTTGTTTAGGGTGAGCAACAGCCAGGGAACCAAAAGGACAGGCATGCCCCCAGCCACAGTGCCCTTTTGGGGCACACAGAACATGTCCTGCTGGTATTTCCCTTTGCAGAATGGTGAGACAGAGGCACAGACAGGAAGGAAACATGCCTTGATTGGAAGACGTCATGTATTACGGTCAGGTGCTGCAGTTGTGGTCTTCCCAGAGAGAGGGCCAGTGGTACTTGGAGGCACCACAGGGCTCTTGTGTTTATGGACTTTATTGATCAACAGGCTCTTTGCAAGCCTGCACTGCATTGAAGTTGCCCTGGCCACCTGTTCTCTACTGGCTGTTAATCCTCACTAATATGCTTGTCTAGAGCGTAAAGGTTCCTAGATGCTCCTGGTTACTAGGAGTCTCTGGGGAGGATGGAGATGCTTACATCATTATTCACCTCTTCTCTCTCTTCCTCTGCCTTCCCTATTGGGGTCCTTTGCTCTTTGGCTGTGTTTCCCTCACTGCAGCACCTCACCTCCCTGCTGGCCTGGGGGAAAGACCATTGAATGCTAGCATATGTTGCTTTGCTTGCCTTCATTTGCTCAGGCCCTTCTCTTCCAAGCTGATGTTCTGATGATAGCATATCTCTTCCTGCTTTTGTCTTACTCCCCTTTCCCCTTTATTGCATGTATTTCTCTCTCTCTCTCCATCCCTGTGACTGAAACCTGGCGGGAAATTCAGAGACATGCTCAGTCATTAAAATGACTGCCCCAAGAAAAGGCCAGAGCACAGCCTGAAGCAGTGGAGATGGGGATGGGCTCTCAGATGATCCCCATCATTTCCACATTAGCAGGGAATGAGATCACTTCCCTTGATAGCAACAGCCCCTGGCTGGCCCCAGTAAACTGGCAGCACTTGCCTACCTGAGTGGGAGATGGGATCTGCTGGATCAATCTCCTTGATGCTCCCACGCTACCTTTTGGGTTGGAAGATGACTGGCAACAAGTGTTTTGGGTAGTCCCTGTAAGAGGGGATAAATGGGAAGCAGAGCCTGGAGGTTCAGGGTAGATCCCTTGAGCTGGGCTCTGGAACCAGCATGCTGGTGTTAGATAGCAGTGTCTGGGTATGTGTGCGCATTGCTGGTGTGTTTGCATGTGTGTGTCTGTTGACACAGACGCAGTGGGATGTTGCTGAGGCCAACTTACATGTCCTCATCACGTGTGCTTTCCATGGGCAGAGGTTTTGTCTTTCCTTGCTGCTCCATCCTTCCCCGTCTCAGTGCTGTGTTCCCATTCAGAGCCTCATGACCAGCTCTGAGCCCCAGAATGACAAGACAGGAGGCAAGACAGGGAGCAATTTGCTGGAGCAAGTGCATGCTCTCAAGCAAGGGAGCACCATGGGCTTGCTGGTAGCTAGAAAAGGAAATAAGCACGCTGAGATTGTGGAATGAATGTTGCAGGGAAACCCAGAGAGGCTCTGATATGTCTCAGTTTTCAGTCTCAGGTGAATGAAGCACAGACTGAAATGCAAAGGGGTCACACTCCAGGCAGATAAAAGGGGTGATTCTGCAACCCTTGACACCAGCTGAACAATTAAGTGCAGGATATACGGAATATGTCTAGTGACCGAGAAGCAGTGTTAGCCAACTGCTTTATAAAGTGCCCCAGGTGGTGCTGTTTAGCCACTGGAGCCAGGATCTGCACGCTTTGACCACGGTCAAGTTCTCAGGGCTGAGTGTGTGGCTGTGGCAATGGTGGGTAGCTGGACATATGCAATCAGGAGAAACCTAATACAGAGCAAGGGGTACTGTGGGAGCAGAGGTGATGCTTTGCTGAAGCTGATGCTCTGACAGTGACCCTGCTACTATTTTCCACTGGGGCAGAGAGGCAGGACACCATGATAGATGAGACCTCATGTTTCTGTTTGTCAACAAGTAGGCTAGCAATCAGTGATGGGGTGTGGCATGGCAAGAGAATAGTTTGTGGTAGCTGGCTGGACCACTTCTTCCCTTTACCAAAATGAAGCTTCACTTCACTTTGGTGCAGCTCTGGTGGCATTTTTACTGCATGGAGTCTTTGGATCTGGATGTACAACAGCTCGGGGCAAGGCTGGGCTTTGATGTGCTGTTGTTTTGTTCCTGCAGCTTCCCTATGAGATGTCTTTCAGACAACATCCCAGCTTCCCCATGGAACAGTGCAGTTCCAAGACATCATTAGGTCTAGAGCAGATGTAAGGAGAAGCCACAGCTGTTCCCAGCAAAGACTGCCCTGTCTTGGGCTTGATGGGAGTGAGGTGATGCGAGCAACCTGTCCAGAGCAGGTCTTTGGGAGTTCCTGACTGGATAAGGCAGATCTGAGGAATGCCAGGAACAGGCAGTCTTCATAAGCCATCCTGCTCCCTTGTTCTCCAAACACATGGATGCTGGCCAAACCACATGAGGTTGGCTCGTCAATACTCTTGATGTAAAAGTGCCTTGTGGGTTCTGTTAGGAAATCTCCAGTGTCCCCCACATGGGATCTTGGGCAGCCTCAGCTCCCTCATTGACTTCAGCCTACCACCAACACACTTTGAGGGAAGCCAGACTAAAGTGCTAGCTGAGATGGCCCTTGGAAGTCACTGCCTCCCGAGCGGAAAGGAGCTTTATGAGCGTTACTGGAAGCTGCTGTGGCTGAGTTACCAGAAATAAACCACTTCGATTTGAGGCCAAGTGCTCTCAAACCACTGAATTTCCCACTCTGGTAGCGGGGCCACCTTCCTAGTGCTTTTGCTTCTCAGCAGGGACATATTCTGTAAATGCCACCCACTGCTCTTGCTGATTTGGGTGGGTGGCAATGAAGCAGGAAGACAAAGGTGGGTGCCTTGCTGAAGGCTCCTGTTAACATAGATTATATATATATATATTTTTTTTAGATAGAAGTGCCTTTTCTGGGAACTGGGTTTTAAAAGAAGTAGCAAGAATAACTCCTTTTCATTCACAGACAATTGCAGGACTGAGGGGCAGGAGATAGCTGGAGAGAGAGAGTTCTGTCCACAGTCTGGGTGCAGAGGATGTGTCCCTGGAGAGGCACAAATGCCTCAAACAGACGCTTTGCATGCAGGGGGGTGGCAGGATAAGTGGCCCTTAGCCAACGCATCCCTGCTATTCTCCTGCCTGTCTTTGATTTTAAATAAACTGCAAATATGACGCACAAACTACGTGTTCACCTGCTTCTCATCAGGAAGCATGGGGGCTGATGCCTACATAGCCCTCAGCAGATGGGATTTCTTTTTCCATCACCCCAGGAAAAGGGGGCAGGGACCTGCCAGCCATGGCTCCTGGAGGGGGGACTGAGGCATGCTGCATGCAGAGAAGGGAGTCCTGAGCCCAATGCTTTAATCCCAAATTAATTTTTTCTCCTCCATGGCAATACCTGGTGAAGAGGCAAAGGCTGAGAACAACAAAGATTCTATGTGGCTCAGGGCAAAAGTTGTGACTGGTACCACGTCTGTGTTAGGATAGAGTGTCATCTGACAGTTTAGGACTCTGGTAATTTCCCTTGTTGAGTCTTTGACCTTTGTGGAGACAAAGAGCCTGCCACCAGATCCTCTTGGCCAGTGCTGGGAGTTGCCTTCCCCACCAGGCTTCTTCCTCAAGGGTAGGGTTTTTTGGTGGAGAGTGGCAAGAGCCCTCTGTGGCTGAGGCAGGGGACCTATTAGCAGCACGTTCTCCCTGCTGCACTGTGAATGCAGCCAGCATGGCCTGCTGCATGGCCAGTGCACTGAACCCACCAACTTGGCCAATATCCTAAACCCAAATAAAACAGTCAATTGCCAGGCAGAGCCTGGTTTTCTTCCCTGGAGTCAGGGAGAAGGAATGTGGGTGGCTCTGTGTGCTGCGGCTGTCTATGCCATGGTGATGGTTAGCCACTCTTGGTGCTGATTTCCAGCCTTGTTGGGGGTTGGGAACCAGCACAAACCCTTCCCCGGGGTCCCATGTAGTCCAAGCTGGGATGCAGGGGGCAATGATCCCAGGCTGAGGCAGTGCCCACCTCTGGAGTGGGTCGAGGTGATGTTGGAGGGTATTACCAGGCCAACTTGTGTCTCACACTTGGTGTAACATCTGGTAGCTCACCATGCATGTGGCACTGCCTTACCTCATCATGTCATCCTGTAGAGCTGGGATTACAGTTCCCAGCCCAAAGTCTGCCAGACCACATTCTCTGGCACAGGACCTGTTCCTTATTATATCCCCTCTTTTCTGAAGCCCTTAGAGGTCTCTGAGGAGCAGGTCGCAGACTCTGCAAACTGTTCCTGCAGCCAACAGCCTGCTCTTTGCCGTCCCCAAGCCTCTCCTTGTGATATGACCAGCAATGTCTTTAGTGCATGATCAAATGGATTGGTTTTCTCCATTGCATGGGGAGTGCAAGCCTTGACATGTGATGGGAATGGGTATGGATGGGATGGAGAATGATTTCTTGTCACATAGCAAGAGGAAGCCAGGTCAAGGAGGGATTTCCTTACCCTTGATCCA